ACTATATTTTTTGAGTATATGTGAGTTTTGTAATTTTTACATATAGAAAACTACGAGCTAAAAAAAATGAAAAATTTCTTTTCACTTTGTAGATCTGTAGCGTGCCCAAAAAAAATTTGAGAAAATTTTTGACTCTCAACCATAAAAGCTTGAAGCTTTTCCTACAAAATTGTTTTTTAAAAATGTTCCTACGATTTTTTGTTACAGAGTTGTTACAAATTAAATAAAACGAATATTTTGACTTTGATTGCTCATAACTCTATCAAAACCGTCACAATTTAAAAAAATAGATTCTTAAATTGTTTCATAAAATAGAGTAAGAAGTAGATTTTATTTTATTTTTAACAAAAATAGCAGCTGCTTGAAGTTTGAATAATAAAATAATAGTTAATAAAAATAAAATAATATTTCGGGTATGAACTTTTTTTGCACTGATCCAATATATATATATATGTGTGTGTGTTCAATATATGTGTGTGTGTGTGTGTGTGTGTGTGTGTGTGTGTGTGTGTGTGTGTGTGTGTTTATAGATCTTTCTGGCAGTATATTCTTATAGTATTTCATAAACTTATATTAAATCTGAACACACCATTAATTTTGAAATCTATCGTTTAGAAACAAAATGAGTTTTTTTACAGAGCGTTTGAACGACCTATTTTATTATTTTTCAAAGGTTTCCCAAGCTTTCGTGAATAAATAAGCACTTTTTCGTGTACTTTTTTTGAATGTACGGACTTTCAAAATAATAACTGCACAGGTTTTAAAGATGTTATTCAGAGTCAATTTTTTTTTAATTTCCTCCTTTATTTGTATTATTATCAAAATTTTTGATAATATATTACGAGGGCAAGTCAATAAGTTTTTAGAAAAACATAATAAAACATTTTTTTTGATCGATTCATTTTTATTTCTCAACATAGTCTCCTTTCAGCTCGATACACTTGATCAAATGATTTTCCAACTTTTTCAAGCCGTCCGAATAATATATGATTTGTCCAACCCTTCAAAATAAGCCTCTGTTTCGGCGATGAGCTGCTCTTTGGTGGTAAATTTCTTTCCTCCGAACCATTTCTTCAGGTTTGGAAATAGGAAATAGTCGCTAAATCTGCTGGATCTGGTGAATATGCTGGATGGGGAAGCAATTCGTAGCGAAATTCGTTGAATTTGACCATCGGTGCTGGGCACGTGTAAACCTGTGCATTGTCTTAATGGAAGAGCACTTTCTTCTTCGCCAAATGGAGACGTTTTTTCTTTAAAATGTTGTAGAAACGATCCAATGAGGCTACGTAGTAATCGCCATTGATCATTTGCTTCGACGGAAGGTAATCGATATGAATTATACCGCGTGCATCCCAAAAAACTGTGACCATCACCTTTCCGGCCGACTTCACGATCTTAGTCTTCTTCAGAACCCGGTGAAGTCCATTGTTTTTACTGTTCCTTCGTCTCGGATGTGAAGTAATGGATCCATGTTTCGTCCACAGTAATGAATCGACGCAAAAATTCATCTGGATTACGTTGAAACATCTCTAAACATTGTTTTGAAATCGTCACACGGTCGCGCTTATGATCTACAGTGAGCGAACATGGCATCCATCTTGCCGATAGCTTTTTCATACCCAATTATTCGTACAAAATTGAAATCACTGTGCCATGTGATATGCCTGTGGTCTCAACAAGTTCGCGCACTTTCACTTGTCGATCAGTCAAAACAATATGAACTTTATCGGTGATTTCTGGCGTAGCAGCCTCAATTGGACGTCCCGAACGAGGTGCATCACATGTGGATGTATGACCACGTTTAAATTCATTTACCCAATTGTATACAGTCGCAAACGCTGGTGCAGATATGCTATGAACATTATCCAACTCGGCTTTAATTTCTTTCGGCGTTAAACCTTTCATATGTACCATATGGTAGATATTTGATCACTGCACGAAACTCGTTTTTTTCCATTTTGCAAAAAATACAGAGGTTGTTCGCTTTAATTGTCTACAGAAATGAAACCACGCGATGAATTCCGCTCAAAATTTGATAGTAATCAGCTGAAAGATGCTACTTGTCAAAAAGTAATGTGACATGACACTGCGAGTGCCTTCTGACAGATTTTCTAAGAACTTATTGACTTGTTCTCGTATGAATTATTTGGATCACCAATTATGATTCCATTGAGATTTCATTCCTATTTTTGTCTTTATTTGATATATATAGTTTATTTCAATTAATTAAATCATATTTTTTTATTATGTACTTCTTTAATTTTTTAATAGTTTTTTAAATGTTAATTGAGGCATTTAAATTGAGGCTGTCAAAATGTAAGAAATAAGTTTATTTATTAACAAACAAATCGATCGATCATAAGCATACGTTTTATTCTTTTATCGTTCAAGACTCAGATAGATGTCGACATATTGTATTAAGATAAATCTTTTTTACCCTTGCGGGATTGTCTTCTTAGATTTTACTTTGTCGTTTATAACGTATACGTCTTTTTTTTATTCACTTTAATAAAGCCATTTTGTGTAATCAATATACAAACGTCCTTCATCCAAAATCTCCAACACATAACCATGAAACGATATACTTTAGAACTTGTTATGTAAAAACTTGTTGTGTAAAAAAATGTTTCTATCCTTAAAAACATTTTATAATCCAATTATTTTTGATAAAAATTTAGAGTTCTTTTGACATGAAGTGGTTTTTAAGCTGAGGCCAGTTAAAAAAAAATTTTTTTTTCCTTATCAATCTAAAAGCTTCCCTAGTAGAAGCAAAATCACTTGCCTAGTAGATGCAAACTTTGAAATCTATGTAGAACTACACTTCCTAACCAGAATATTTAGTGTCGTCAACTTTAACAATTAACAATTCTCAATCTCGATACAGGCTCCAACGAATAAATCTAAGGATAAATGTGAAATCAGCCAATGTAAGCTAACACAAGTTAAACGTGTGTAAATTCATATATTTAATCTTGAAAAGAATTTTCAAATGTTTTAAACCCTTTTGATTAGATCTCCTTCAGTGTATTGATGACAAATCCTTCAGTGTATTGATGACAAATCCTTCAGTGTATTGATGACAAATCCTTCAGTGTATTGATGACAAAATCCATTCGTATAATTAAATTTGAGAGGTAGAATATAACAGAATTAGAGTATCGTTGACATACATTCATACTATGATTTCAATATTGTCTGTCATATCTAACAGAATATTCAAATTATATATTTCAAATTATTTGTAATTTAATAATGATTTCGAATAAGTTATTATATTATAAGTCAAATTAGTTAAAAAAAACTCATGTAATAATATTAACTGTAATAATATTAACATTAAATGTAATAATATTCATGTAATAATCTGTTAAATAAAACGTGTTAGCACCAAGATATTCTGAGCATATGCAAGAGATCCAAATCGATTACACAGATCTGCAAATAATGGGGTTTTGTTTGTTGTTGGGCAGCTGAGAGTCGTTTCCGAACCAGTTTTTTGCGTAGAATCCGAATCTGAGCTGAGAATTGTCCCATCACGTCAGGGTTTTGAGATATTTGAGGTTATGTAACCGAAAAATGGCTATTTTGGGGATGTTTGAGGTTAGAAAAAGTGTGTAACAAAATTTTTGTAATTTTTTCTACCTATCTAATCTTTTAGTACTAGTTTTCCTCTACAAAAACAGCCCCTGAGCGTTGCCCTACGTTGTTCCTTTCAAAAGTTATGTCTATTTTAAGATCACATATTCGCGGTATTTGACTGGTTGCTTGTTAATGAGGTTATCAAAAATGAACGGATTCACACCAACGTTGGTATTCAGGGGTTTTCGAGGTTGCTGATCAAG